TATACAGACAAATATACAGATGACATTATTAACTCTATAAACACTACAATCCAATCTCATATCACAAATACTAAATAAACACAGCGGTACAAAAAGGAGAAATACCGTTCCCCACAAGGCCCTCCGGTCACAGACTTCCCCCCAAATGACCAGAAAGAGCAGAAGTTAGAGTTACGTCACACACACAGATGTGAAGTTCATGAAGGGCTCCAAGGACCAATCTCTGGTGGGATGAGACAGTGAAAACTTCACTGTAATATGGTCGCTTTTAAGCACAAAGGGGCTATCCCGAAAAATGCTGTTTTGAGAAAATCGAAAGTAAAGTTTTTGGACCCTTGTTCAGTTTCTTTAAAAGACAAGGAGAGTTTTCTCTATACCCAAACAAATATACACGCCAATGAAACCAAACTTCTCCTATAGGTAGGGCAATCCCACATTTGGTATAGGTCAAGATTTCTGGAAACCTGAAATCTGGGTTAGCCCTCTTGTCCTTAAAAGCGACCATATGTAGTCAAGAAGTTCAGAAGATACATATAGTACTCTGCTCCAATATAGAACAAAGCCTGCTGTTACTGAAGTTACCGTATTCAAAGTTTCTAAATTTATCATTTGAAAGTCGGGCGGACTGGGGAATATCAACAATATTTCATGTAAACGGATCAATAATTGAAAAATGTGATACACTTCTATTGCACCGATCTTTGGTTGTAGAGTTGTTGTAAGGTGAAGACATTTTCTCATTTTCTTTTTTCACATTTCATTCTTTGATTGGAGGCTTAAAACACTCGGATAACATCGCTTTTTAAGATAAGATGCATTTTCTCCAAATCAGCTGAAAAGGTAAATTCCTTTTCAATCCGTTATTTTTTTTCTATTATTATAATGAACAGCTTCCCCATCAGGAATTTCTGAGCAGTAGACATAGGTATGACAATCAGATCTGAACCGCATAGATATATAGATATATATATATATATATATATATATATATATATATATATATATATATATATAGATATAGATATAGATATATATATATATATATATGTGAGGCAGCGTGGTGAAATCAGGCGCTCATCAAAATACAGAAATCGGAGAAACAGGAATTTTTGGGCCAGTTTGGACATTTCTATCTAATTTTTATTCTTGGCTCAACCTCTTTTATGTCCATTTAACAACACATTTCCATGTGAATTTTACTGAAAAAAACATTGATTAAAAATTGTCATTTCTCTGTTCTCAAGGACTTTTTAGCTACTGGAGTTACCAAACTTTGGTAGCCATTTTCTCGCTAATTTCACCACTGAAACCAGGCGACCTCACTTCCTTCAATCGCAAAATCACGAATTCTATTCAAGATAGAAGGGTATCTATTTCATTGGAAGCTAGGCAAATATATCAGCTTTCAGATAGTACCAATAACTCCACATGCCAAAAAATTTAGGAGTACCTGATTCCACTGTGTCGCGACACACACAAATATATACCGGCATATACGTCCTTCACCCTCAGATGTGACCAGCCAATCTTCTTTTGTCCCAATCACTCACTTCATTACATCAGCTTTTCTACTGAGTCATATCTATCTATTTATATCTGCAACTATAGGAGATCAAAAACATAATGATAGGCACTTGTCAATGACGGTCAACAATGTGATCAACACAGGTAAAACTGCACAACAATATAACATATTTACAGACCAGGGGCAGTGTGTCTGACAAACAACATGCACTGATACCTTCATCTGTGCACCAGCAATGTCAGCTTCAGGTGAAACATTTGTGACTTACCCTTCGTCTGAGTTTATGGAAAATCTCGGAATGTGACGCAATAACTAAAGGCTGGGTTCTGTGTGGAGTTCTCACGCTACACTTGTATTTTACCATGCAACGTTCTCTTTTTCTTTCTTCTTTGGAAAGTTTGGGAAGTTGTGTTGTCTGTTAAATTCTTTTTATAATCTCTGGGATTTGAGTTGACAAAAACTGAAAGTTTCAAAAGCAGTCCTGTCATGCTCCAATCCAAGTGAAAGGTAACTCTACACACAAAACCCAACCATTTAGCTGAGGACTCTGACATATGCTACACAAGAGGACGACCCTGACATACGATACACATGTGTCTGAATCACGAGAGCGGGAAACAGAGTCGGAATTGTCTGAGACAGCCATGCCTTGTCAAGGAGAACAGAGGTTGTCTCAAATAGATGCTTCTCTCAGACAGGGTCATGATGACCTGGAGAAAATGTTTGGTGGGGAGTGGCAGGTTCTATGATTGTCTTGGACAGGTGGCAGTTAGAGCAGGCTCCACTGTATTTAGAGATTACTAGTTCCGGTCGGCTAACTACAGACTGACAACTTGGACAGTCCTGGAGTAAACAATGGGGCAAAGGAAGCATCTCCAGTCACTGAGTGACAGCCAACAGTTAGGAGCTCATGCTGTCCAGGTAAACCAGACAAGACAAAGACAACCAACAGTTAGGAGCTTATGCTGTCCAGGTAAAACAGACAAGGCGAAGACAACCAACAGTTAGGAGCTTATGCTGTCCAGGTAAAACAGACAAGACAAAGACAACCAACAGTTAGGAGCTTATGCTGTCCAGGTAAAACAGACAAGGCGAAGACAACCAACAGTTAGGAGCTTATGCTGTCCAGGTAAAACAGACAAGGCAAAGACAACCAGTTCATGACGTCTGCTTTACAACAAAAACTGTTTTTGATTTCACAGAAATCTCATTATAGCAAACAATTCAGTATTTCATAACATTAAACGCACATATAAAAATACACAGATGTCGAGGTATCGTAGTGAAATCAGACGCACATCAAAATAAGGAAATCGAAGAGACAAGAATCTTTCCGCTAGTTAGGCCAAGTTCATCTAATTTTTTGCTCAACACCTTTGAAGTCCATATCAAACACATTTCCACGTGAGTTTTATGGAAAAACGATTAAAGGCACAAGATACGTAAATTTTCAGTCTTCAAGGACTCTCAAGCTATTGAAGTTACAAAGCTTTGGTGGCCATCTTCTCGCTAATTTTACCTCTGAAACCAGACGACCCCCCCACCTCCTTCCATCCCTGATATCTCAACTTCTCATCAAGAAAGATGAGTATTTTTTCCATTGAAAGCAAGGCCAATAAATCTACTTTGAGATGACATCAATACCTCCACAGGCCCAAAGTTTGACGAATGCCTGAGTGATCCCACCATGTTATGACACATATAGACGTCAAAAACAAAAATTGGGAGCTTGATAAAAACCATTGAAACACTGTCCTCAAAAAGGTGAAAATTGGAAACAAAGTCTTGAAGAATACATGATAAGACCTTTGAAACACTGTCTGATAAGACCTTTGAAACACTGTCTGATAAGACCTTTGAAACACTGTCTGATAAGACCTTTGAAACACTGTCTGATAAGACCTTTGAAACACTGTCTGATAAGACCTTCGACAAGGGGCACAAAAACACTCATGAGAACTTGGAGTCGATAAACAAAATGTATGGCCATTTCTATCAGATCTTTGTGTAACAATAGAGCTTTCCAACAAATGATCAACACGATAACATATGGCAAGAAGATATATATGGCATGTAATGATATCAACAAATTAGTCAGGGTAGCAGATCACAGAAGATGGCAATAACAAAAATGGTATTATGATCAGGAAATGAACATGATTTATCAATGGGATAGCGGTCACCTTTAAACATTTTCGGCCAGTTTAACTCTCTTCTGTCTTGAGCAACAATCTCAGCAGATACAGGAATATATTTGAGCTCGTGAACAACCGCTACCTCTTCTCAGCTGAAGATAGCAGGAAATTTGACCTTTCTAATAAAAGCTCATCATCAAAAAAGACCCATTCATGGAAATCATACCCTGTATCAGTCTAAAAAGAATAAAACAAAATCAACATTTAGACAGGATCTGGGCATTTTCTTGCTGAGACTGTAAAGTAAACTAAGAAAGTTCTTCAAAGCAAACTAGAACAGAATACAGACTAAGACCATATGTTATTATGATGCATACACTCACAAACATCAAAATGCAATATCAGGAGTGAGAATGTTGAAAGATTTTATCGTAGATGCTGAGACATTCGTCCATCGGTAATGAATTACTTTTAGTGGACATTGTGTGACACACGTCTAGTCAGGGCTTATAAGAAAAGAGAAGAAATTTGGCGTTTTTACAAGATACAACTGAACTCAAAGCACTCATCACGTAGTTGGACATTATCGGAGCAAGATCAAATTTCTCTAGTTTTTTTATATGACTTTTGAAACTGAAGCAAATCTGCAGAAAGTATGAGCAGACTGTATCTCATTGAAAAATTCTGTTAGTGCACAAAGCTGAAAGATCATGTAGATGAGCTATTAAATAGATGAGACCCCCTCAAACAAACGCCTTTCAAAGACATAAAGATACAAACGACAACTCACTGGAATGTCAAGTACAACCAAAGAAAACAACTGAAAAACGCAGAGAGGCTTTTCTTGAATAGTGCTTGACCTAGAAGTGCTCAGCATTGTTTACTTTTTGGAATATCAAAAATAACAAGTACACTTTGGCTACTTTTAGATTTTTAAAATGGCACTCTATCTTTAAAAAAAAAAAAAAAAGATTCATTTCGTCTTCTCTTGCTTTTCTGCTTTCAATACAATACTTAGTTATAATCTTACTTCATTCTTATTTTTGGAACTAGATGAGCATCAGCGAATGTTTTGTGGTTGTGTCAGCGGCTTCATGTATGGTCCCCAGACGTTGGTGGGTAGTGGAGTGATAGTGAGCCACTGGGAGGTAGAGGGGGAGGGAGGACGAAGGGGGGAAAGAGGGTGAGATAGATATATATATAGATAGATAGATAGATAGAAAGAGAGAGAGGGAGAGATAGATTAGGTAGAGAGCGAGAGAGAGCGAGAGAGAGACAAAGGGGAACAGAGAGTGAGAGAGAGAGAAAGAGGGGGGGGGGGGGGGGGGAGAGGGAATGACATTTCACAATGTACTGGTTCTGTGGACTCAGTAATGACAGTGCCCATGCTGCAAGTATCACGGCTAAACTCCTAAATTTAACTACATAAACATTTTTAACTGACAAAGACACCAACTGATAACTGCCTATCGTACAACATTTTACCCTTTTGTGAAAATTTAAAAAATTGATTTCACTTATACCAGCATTTGATTGTCAACTCTAAATGCTTCTGTTGAGATGAGGCAAAAATGAACCGCCAAAAAGTAGCGGTAAAACAAACTATTCCCATCCTTCTGTGTGAGATCAACGAGTCACTCTTCTGTGTGCGATCAACGAGTCACTCGGCAGAGCTGAGTACGTCGTCCGTAAGGCCATTGGTGTAAGCGATGTGGTCCAGTTGTCTCCTGTAAATAGTCAGGTCATTCATGAACCACGGGATGCGAGTGTTCTCCAGTTGAGCTATTTCGGTGACACATTCCCTGTCAACATCCTCGTAAGAAATCTTTCCGAGTCGCACGAGAAGATGAAAGTCGAGAACTCTCCGTCGTTTCAGCAACTGCAGAGCCCCATCTAGATACACCTGATCCTTGCAAAAGCACCCTAAAAAATAGGATCAAGAGGAATATTTCAACATTAAATTTATCAACTAACAATTGGCTCAAAGTCTTGCATAGAATCTTGAATTGAAATCCTTAACTCTAGGCCCCCAAGGAACGCTGATCGGCGACCATAAGAAGCCGTCCCTTTTCCCCACAGGACGCCGATCGGTGACGGTGTGATATAGCATGCACCGCATCTGTACCATGGTCCGTGGGGATATGTGTTGCACGCTGTGTGCACTGCATGGGTGAAAAGTGTTATACATACAACCCCTCCCTGCCATAGGCTAAACACAGACATTCATAACCAACTCAAAAGGCATAACACACATCACGTACAAACATCTCGAGAAGCTAACTTGGGATTCAAAATCTGTTGAAAACTACAATTTTATAAATCCAGATCTACCGTGTTCTCAGGAATATTCAAAGCTACCTTCATTCAAATTTTGAGGTCAAAAGGTGTATCATTTCATCTAAAAAGTGATGCAACAGTTGGTGCCATCAGAATATATAATATGTATTGATAAAATCCCAGTTCTATGAACAGTAGAATATCTTATAGCCAAAGAAGAGATTGGAGACTTCATAAAGGTATTTTCCTTTTTTTTTTCTCTACATTTCAGTCTTGTCACTCAAAAGTGGATCTCCAAAAATTGAATGTTTAAATCGCTATATATATATATATATTTCATTGTAAGATACAACAGAATTAAACCATTGGTTTCTTTGTGAGAAATAGGAGCGTCCACTGTTCAGTAGAGGCAAAGATCATACATAACAGAATAGTTAACTCTGCCAAAAAGGTGTCCGCGGAAGTCCACATATCGGTTCAGATGTCGCTGCAGTCTTTGTTTTGAAGCTCTCTTTAGTTTTTCCAGAAAAAGAATAGGAATAGCACCCCCTTGCGCATCAGCTGTTCCTGTTCACTAAGTGCGGAGTTTTGGGTTTATGTTATTTAATGACCTCTCGCCTCTCGTTCTAAAGCCAAATTAAATGAAGAAAACAGTCGCCCCTTCCACCTGAAGAGGATTTTTGTTAGCGTAACCATTAAAAAAGGTGCTATTCCGAAACTTTAATTATAAATTATACAAAAACTTGTTAGTTTTAATTCGACTTTTTTCCACACAAGTAGGGTAACTCTGTTCACAAAGCAGGCGCTCTTTCGAAGATGGCGCCACATTCCATGAACTACCACAACAGAGCTGAACTATTCCAAGGATACAACCCCATGGGACAGATCACAGTGTACTCCAAGGAGCACAACAGACAACACAAATGAGCTCTCTGGTGAGTGCCCAGTGAATGTGTTCATGTATCAGAGAGAGTGTGTGTGAGCATGAGATTTTCTGTCAGCTGGAGTCATGGCATATATAGCCAACATGGGGATAAATATTTCACCTGGCCTGGATGTATCTTCCTGTCCCCTCTTGGCTCGCAGGCAATAGTCCCAGCGCACGTTTGGGTTGTAGACAAACTTTTCAATGTCCATGAAGAGTTCCTTGAAGGACAGTCGCGAGGCCATGAACGTGGTGTAGTAGAGCAGAGCAGCACGCCACAGGTAGGGGCGGTCCCTGAACAGCACGCTGTGTAGCGACGCGAGCCCCTCCTCTGTCGGGTTGATCGGCCCCATACCAAGATCACGACGCACACGCCAGCTGTGCCAGGGCTGGTAGCGAGTGTTGCAGCTACGAAGATAGTGAGTACCTGAAAGACAAACACCCAATACAAACATCAATCAGTGCCCTTGAAAAGCAAGTCAGAGAAAAATCGAATTGGTTGCTTTTAAGCACAAGGGGGCTATCCCGATAAATGCTGTTTTGAGAAAATCGAGGTTAAAGTTTTTGGATCCTTATTCAGTCTCTTTAAAAGACAAGGAGAGTTTTCTCTATAACCAAACAAATATACACACCAATGAAACCAAACTTCTCCTATAGGTACGGCAAAGCTCACTTTTGGTGTAGGTCAAGATTTTTAGAACCCCCCCCAAATCTGGGTTAGCCCGCTTATCCTACACCAAAAGTTGCTAGGAGAGAAGCTGTTTCACATTTACAAGGCCTTTTTGTTTACAATTAATATATCTCATAAAGATTAAGAATTGATAAGGTGACATGAGATGAGAAGAGATGATCTCACACAGACATACACATTTACATACACGGACACGCACACACACGAATGGATGGACATACACAATGATGTTCCTCTCCCCTATCTGACAATGACAGAATAGCTTCAACTTTCCTCTTCATCCTAGAAAGGGAGGGCAAAAAAACATGTTCTTTTGTTCTGTTCAAGTCGCGTAAAACTTTCACTTCCCACAGCTTAGAGGCACCGTAAATCTGTCAAAATCCCAGTAGGGCCTATCTATTCCACAAAGAGGAAAACCCTTTGACTATAACACTTTGCAGTACAAAACACCCCCTCTGGCCACCCAGCCAGGAGAGCGTCTGCAGTGACTGACACCAACTTCTCGGCCCTGGCGCAGAACTGCGCCGGGTGACTGGAACAGATAATTTTCACTGGCAATTGCGCCAAGTGACGGCAAAGTGTTAACCGACTGACCTAAAACTGCGAATCGTACACCGCACTCACCGACTGACCTAAAACTACCACCGTACACATCACTCACCGACTGTCCTAAAACTGCCACTGTATACCTCACTCACCGCCTGACCTAAAACTGCCACCGTACACCTCACTCACCGACTGACCTAAAACTACCACCGTACACCCCACTCACCCAGTTCGTGTCTCAGCAGACCCTCGGCCCAGCACTCCCTCAGGTTCACACAACGCACGTTCAGCATGGCCTTGCCCTTTGACCTGGTCATGGATCCTCGGCTCAGCATGTCCTCACTCAGGTTCAAGGTCACTTCATCCTCAAGTTCCTCATTTTTCAAGTACCTGAGGAATTTGTGTAATTGGATTTGCCTGTCAATAATATATTTTTTTTTAGGAATCATCTGTTCATTGACAGCCAAACCCTATGACACGGACCCAAGTAATACAAAGTACACAAAATGTAATACACAAAATGTAATACACCAAATGTAATACACCAAATGTAATACACAAAATGTAATAATAATAATAATAATAATAGATAATAATAGTTAGCATTTGTATAGCACATATCCCCGCTCAACAGCAGGCTCTATGCCCTTTACACTATATTATTACCCCAGCGGACCATAGAACACTCCGAAACATTCTCAGCTTCCCAGGAAGCATACAGTGCAAGCAGCCGATTAAGCGCTCAAACACTAACAAACTGACGAGATCTTTCGCTGTCTATAGCCGGGTACCCATTCCCACCTGGGTGAAGTGAGGAAAATTCGTGTAAAGTGCCTTTCCCAAGGACACAACGTCGGGCCCTTGACGGGATTCGAACCCACGACCTTACGGTTACGAGTCCGAGAGCCTAACCACTAGGCCACCGACGCCACACTAAGAAGGGAGGTCAAAGAAGAAATAATGTCTCCTTGAGTAACTATTGAGCTCACTTGGTACTACAAGCTCTGAGATGGTCATTGTCAGAAATGAAAGGAGGAAAACAATACATAGACAAACAACAGTACAGGAATTTCCATTATAAAATCATGCCAGGGACAATCTAAGAAAATCTGGGATAGAAAGCAAGGCTGAAGTTTGAGTTTTAACCGGACACAAAAATGTTCTCGTGAAGACAGAGCACTCTGTCACAGTCAACAAGAAAGAGGGAAAGAGGAAAAGTGATGGTCTGGGAAATAACATATAGGAAGTTGTAATGTACATAGATCAAGAAAGCGGAGTAATTTCGCTCATTCTTGGAAAAGACAAAAATCTTTGTTGAGTTCATGCAAAGTTGTGAAGCAATTATATTTGTTGATAATAACACCAAGTTCCCTGCCCTGTCCATTATTTGAAGATTAAAAAACCAATAAAATATATATATGTGAGGCATCGTGGTGAAATCAGGCGCTTGTCAAAACAATGAAATCAAAGAAATCGGCATTTTAGAGGCGATGGAAATTTTTTTCTAATTTTCTTTTTTTGCTCAACACCTTTTTCTATGTCCATTTAAAACACATTTGTATAGATTTACTTAAACACGCTGATTAAAGGCACAAAAAATGTAAATTTTCAGTTTCCAACGACTCTCAGGCTATGGAAGTTACCAAACTTTGGCGGCCATTTTCTCGCTAATTTTACCTCAGAAACCAGGTGATCCTGACCTCCTTCAATCACAAATATTTCAACTTCTATTCAACAAATATGGATATTTTTTCCACCAAAAGGAAGGCAAATGAACAAGCTACCAAGAACCCCATATGCCCAAAAATTGACTAGCACTTGATTCCATCGCATCCATGACACATATTTCAACTCAGCGATATAATAAATCCATGCATTTAAAATCAAGTTATCTTTTGAACAGAGTATAAACATTACAAAATACAAAAGAACTTTTTAGGATTCTTTACCTGATCACAAGCCACTCATTGTATTAAGAAAAACTTTGTCTCTTACTTTTTTACCAGCGAGTATATTTGAGACTTGCTCAAAATTCTGCCACCAGTGACTTCCTCAAAAGTTTCATACGTTCCAAAGTAACTGATGGCTTTTTCCATGATCAGAATAGCCTGGAGAAAAGACAAAAGTAATTTTCAGATAAAGGTTGAAACAATATTGTAAAAAAAAAATATTATGCTTTACGATCTGTAGGCCTAATAGATGTTAGAAATGCCACCATTTAAATAATGCAAAGAATTTTGGCAGACATAAATAAATGCACATTGCACTTTTCACGGAAACTTGGAATTTTGACTCAGGCAGATTAAAATGTTCAAACTGATAAAAAGAACATAATTTGTTCCATACAATTTCATATCAACATAAATACTTGACACTGCACAACTTGTCAATCTGATATGTTGCCATGTTGAAAAAATGTTCTTTTCGTTTAAGCAGGACTAAAAAAAATTTAAAAATATTATTTTCATGAGTACCATACTATCACATCTCATATGTCATTACTTACGTGTGGAATATAAGTAACATGTCATTATGTGTAGTAAACATTACTTACATGTGGAATATACTATAACATGTCATTATGTGTAGTAAACATTACTTACATATACTATAACATGTCATTATGTGTAGTAAACATTACTTACATGTGGAATATACTATAACATGTCATTATGTGTAGTAAACATTACTTACATGTGGAATATACTTGTCAGAAGGATCTCTGAACTTGTCCATCACATCATCATCAACACAGCCTCGATACACAAAGTACGGATTGTAATTGAAATTTGCTCGCATGAAGCGCTCTTTCTCCGACTTCTCATTTTCCGGTTTTATGGCGGCAAGCAGTGGGAGTTTTTTCTTCTTCTCGTTGCTCTTCATGACCAGATGCACAGGAAGTGAGAGTTGACGAGGGGGGGGAGTCGCCAGTTCCTCCAGTCTCCCAGGTGACAGGATGTTGGGCAGCTTTTTCACTTTGGAATCTTCCTTTTTCTTCACGTCTGAATCGGAAAGACTTGAGGTATCTCTTAACATGCTTCCGTGAGGAACAGTTATAACTTCACTCAAAGATTTTCTGTGTTTGCTTGTAGATTTTTTCTTTTTCTTTTTGCGAGGTTTGTCGTTTGGAAAGCTCAGGCTTTGCGACTGGTCTTTGTTGTTCAAAGTTTCCACAGTGACCAGTGTGACACATTTAGCAGAGCCATTCAGGCCACCAGTGATGTGACCTGCGCGCTCCATGTTGGATATCGAGTGGCGATACCGTCGATAAAACATGGTCCTGCTTTCTTAATTGAAATGATGCTGCTCGGAAAACTGTCAATCAGCCATGTTGCTCATTGGGAAGTCAGTCTCGATGAAACGTTCCACAGACATCTGCAAGATAAATGTTGTATTCATAAAAACAGTGTCAGAGATGAGTCAAATGCATATATTTTTCTACATTTATGAAATCATTTTACAAGATGAAACACAGTCGGACCTGTCCAAGATGATCAACCAACGTCCAGGAGAACCGTAGTCATCTTAGGCTGGTGGTCCTCTTGGGCAGCGCCATTCTCAAATAGAACAGAACGCGAAGGCCCGTGGGAAGTGGGGAAAATGGTTGTTTGTACCGGTGATCAGTCTCCGACAGGTCGTTGTTAAAGTAGGTTAGACGGTAGGACAAAATAATGGTTCTAAACAGCTAATATAACCATCATTCAGTGCAGGGAGACATACAGACAGACAGAAACAACAAGGAGAAAGACAAGAAGAAGGACAAACACAGTACTTCGACTTCGACTTTTGAAGATAGATAGTTAATTTTTTAATCAAAAGCAAGACAAATGAACAAGCTTTAAGGTAATGGAGTGTCTACATACACGGTAACCGGACACATAGTCCCAGACTCTACGTATACAGTAACCGGAAGGTCCACCCTTGTTCTTCACAGAAGTATCGTGTTGTGGGACTCGCCGTGTTGTGTGTGCACTGGGCCAACTCCGACATTCTCCGAAGTGTGCATTGTGTGAGGGCACGTTATTTGACAATGGCCATTTCAGCTGCCTTTTTTTCTCTATATATAGAGATCCAAGTTCCTAGTCATAGACAACCTTGTGTAGATCTAGATGTACGACTACTCCGTCTGACCCCTACAGCGGGACTTTTATTACCGCAATATTTATCCCCTTTTTCCAATGTAAACTTAATTATTTTACATATGCTTGGGTTTAGCGGGACAAGGAAAGTCTTGAACTTGGATACAGCAGGAGAGATCGCGCGAGCTGTATACACATATCTGGGGGAAGGGGGGTGGCTGTGGTGGGCTCCAAACAGTAGGCAGTCAGCGGAGCAGCGTTGTCATTGGCCAGTCTAGTGATGAGTGAGGGAGGATGGGGCGAAGTAGTTACCCTGCACCTATTATAGCTCAAGGGGCCCCCGAAACTAAGTATCGACCCGGTTACCCTGTACGTAGACACTGATCAGACTATAATGTGCCCGGTTACCGTGTACGTAGACACTTTGTTAAGATAACCAATTCCTCCTTGCCCAAAAATTGACAAGCGCCTGCTTCCACCCCGTCATGATACTAAAGGTGCTCTACAATATTCTCATAATGTGTTGCACATCAGAGGACTAACTAAATGTGGTGTATTTGGTTGTTTTTGGTTGTGGCAGGGGGTTAGGCCTAGCCTATTGTATTGTTTGGCTGAAAGTGTGAGAGTGAGTAAAGTGTGAGTCTCTGTTCAGTTGTATTGTTTGCAAGTTGATAAAAGTCTGAGTTATTACTGGTGGGAGTGGGAGAGGAGAGAGTTGTATCAAGGCAGAGGAGGCCTGCTGACAGTATAGGTTGTGAAAAAGGCTAGTTAGAGCCTCGGTTCAGTTGTGCGTGAAGTGCGAGATTCCAATCCAATGCATCGGGGCCCCAAAGCTGCGGAAGGAATCACAACACAGAGCAGAGGAACAGGTTTGGCTAATTCCTGTTATAGTGGCATGTGACAGAAGGTTAGTAGTGTAAAATCTTTGTTTTATGTTCCAAGTAACAACACTAAACATTAGCAACCCACACAAATTTGAAGAAATTTTCTCTCAGACACATTTTGAGTGACAATTAAGACAGTCACCCCCAAATATATATATATCATCCTCGCTCAGTCCTGAGTCCTAAAGGGTGTAATGACTTTTTGTCCATCACTTTCATTGCAGGCTACTGTACTGTACTGTACTGTGCCAGGACCCAAATATCTGGTTGTCTAGACTAGTCTTTTTGATTATACATGCATAGGATGAAAGTGTGTGTTTGTATGGTGTGTGCTCAGGTGCAGGCTAAGTTTAATACTAATAGTACCATTGTAGCCCTCCAACCATCTGCTGAGGTTAGTAGGAGTAAACATTCAATGATTTTATAGTTGCATTCGTTAAAGTGAAGAGTAGAGGGGTTTCAGGGGGGCTTGATTTTATAAAAATATGGAGGGGGGGGGGGGAATTTTACCATAATTTGATGTTAGGCCTTTGCAGTTAGGTTGCATTTCTGTTCTTTGTGTTGCCTATATTTGCTCATCAAGACTTTTGGATTTCTTCTCTGGATGTAAACAAATGGATCATGGACTTTAACGAACGGAACTACAAGATCAACAACAAACATTCATACTGTGTGAAGTTAAAGAGAAGGTTTTTAAGCGTGTTCCAAACAAAAAGGATCCTTCAAACAACAGAGAATTTAGAGTAGTAACAATAGTAACATTATCCTGCCGGGACAAACATATATGTCATCATCATAGAGTGCCATTCATTTCCATAGTCAAAATAGACAGCCTAGTTCCCTAGCCCCAGAAGACGAAGACATCTAGAATCTAGATCTAGATCTAGATCTAGTCTAGACTAGATCTAGATCTAGATTAGATCTATACATCTAATCTATATCTAGATCTAGATTCTAGATCTAGATTAGAAGTAGAAGAATCACTTGGACTTGGAGCCGGAGCGGGTTGATTATAGAGCAATTCAAACCATCCAGGTTACGCCTGGATATTCAAAAAAATAGAGTGGCGATAAATTCTCACACTGCAGAATCAACACGCTTCCATATATGCACACTCGATTTGTTTCGTACAATACAGAAGTATTCATAACTCCCACGGTCACAATGAGCCGCCATGATGACAACTAAATAAGTTCCCACAGTAACAACTCCGAGAGTAGTCCCCCCTGTTTGTGAAAAATTTGCTTATAATTTGGACTTATGAAGTTCCATCTGATAAATTACATTTGTCATCATTTTCTTAATTTACAAAATGTCAGAGAAAATGATTTTTTGAAAGAATTTTATCTTTAGTGAAAAGTTCTGAAAAATATTAGAACTTCTAAAATCCCAAACTAGATTTCCGGTCATATCGAGGTTCACGATTGGAGGAGAGGGCGCTGTTTATGATGTCATCGAAATTGTCGGATTGTCCTCGTGCAAGATGGCTGACAACAAATTGTACGAACTTCTTGGTGTAAGCAGAAATGCTACAGATACTGATCTGAAAAAGGTTTGGCTTCATTTATTGTAATTGTGATGTTGTATTAATAGGTTGCTGTACTAAAATTGTATTTGGATGTACCAAAATGAAAGTACTACCACAATTTATATCGGATATATCGCCATGTCATTGTGAGTGTGGTTTTCTCAGAAAGTTTCTCTCGGACTGCCTTTTTTTCAGTCAGTAATTGTCACTGTCACAGTAGGTGAGAATAGTGAAGCGCGTATGTACGTCTAGTTTCTATCACACTCGTGTTTTTCTTTATCAGTTTCAGCATTGTTGGTACAGACATAGCCCACTGAGCTGTGATTTCTAACATTACAGTACTGGACTGAATTTTCATTCACTTGTGACTTTGTTGTTGTAGTGTCTAAGTTTCTAAAGTCTGCTGAAGACTAGGAAACTGAAATGGCTATGGGCGTGGGTAATTGTTGGAAATTCCCTGATACTAAAAAAAAAAAAATATCAAAAATTAAAGGACCCACTTTATTTCTAGATTCTACTTTAAATCTAGATCTAGAATCTTCCTTTTCTTAAATTTTTATACAGCAGAGTGCCAGTGCCATCATAATTTATAAGATAAAATCATACATTCTCATTCTGATTTAGTTTTATTAAGGGCTAATATTTGCTGGATAGGGCAATGAGGTGTGGTGGTAAGGATGATAGGCCTACCTTTTCAATTGAGGGAAGTGGCTAAGCCAATTACAATTCTCACCCCGGGTGAGAATAGAAATACGATTGGCCTCTCGCCACGGGTGAGACTTACCGGCGTTGGCTGTTTTCACCCGGTGTGAAATAAGACCTGTCCTATTTTCTCAATAGCCTGTCTATCGGGTGTGGATGATCAAATTGACAACAACAAAGAAAAAAAATTATGTTATTTCGTCATCTACAAAGAGGCTATGCCTATTTCAGTTTTCGAGTCGAGCCGGTCGTCATTTTATTTGCCGGGAAGTTCTCGTTACTCCTCTTTCTCTCCTCTCTCTCTCTCTCTCTCTCTCTCTCTCTCTCTCTCTCTCTCTCTCTCTCTGCCGGCAGACAGAATTGCACACTGGTATCACGGACGCACACCGATTGAGAATTGCCAAAAGGCTCGCCCTCTCACCCTGAGAGGCCTACAACTACAACTGTGCTATTCCCACCCTGGGTGAGAGGCCTACAACTACAACTGTGCTATTCCCACCCTGGGTGAGAGGCGTACAACTACAGCTGTGCTATTCCCACCCTGGGTGAGAGGCGTACAACTACAACTGTGCTATTCTCACCCTGGGTGAGAGGCCAACAACTAATATTCTCACCTCACCCCTGATGAGAGGCCTACAACTGTGCTATTCTCACCCCTGGTGAAAATAGAGGTGGCCTTTCAATAGGCATGCAGCACATAAGTAAACCTTTTTCTTGCATAGCCCGTATTTACTATTTACATGTGATATTCAAAATTTAAAAAAGTATTGTAATATAATGCATGCTAGCATCTATCACATAAACCTATCAGCACAGCAGAGTAATGATTTTGAAAAAAACCCACTGGCTTTGCTAGGTAAATTGTAGCATGGGAAAACTCATCGCATCTTCAACGGAGGTAGTTTTGTTGTTTCTGTGATGCAACCTGTTTGGGGAATTCTTTTATGGTAGCGTCAATTGCCACCGCGTCACACAATTTAGCAATGCCAATCGGGCTTTCCCGCGAGGCGAATATTTGGTCCCCGTTTACGGGCGATTTTGCGGACCCGGCCGAAGCGTAGGTGACTAACTTTGTCAACCTCGGTCTGCTCTATTTCCGAACCAATCCGAATGAAACTCGGCTACCAATCAGAAAATAGGGCAAACTAATGATATGTGGACGTTGAAGTTCGTACACATAAATTAACGTATACTTTTGGTGTCGGGAACACTTTCGTATCGTGTACACCGAAAACTGTAAGGAGTTTGAATTTCAACGCCCAGATGGTAATAGATCTATCTATCCTCTATAGTGTGCTCAAATTTGAGAGTTCTGTGTCAAGTAGTTGTTTAGACCCGATCGTAAATCTACGACTACCCCCCTATCCAAAGCGGCTTCGCACGGAGACCGGCCATTTTCCCCTCACTCCCGTGGCAAATGTCTGTGACCTACAAATCCCCGCATGACTATTCCGGGCCCGTTCATTGGTCACTTGAAATAGGGCAATGGCGGGCGCGCGCATCCGGTTGTTTTTCTCTCTATTCCCCTGTAACATCGCAATGGGGGTATTCCGAGGCGAGGTTATCTCGTCTCGGGGTGTTCGCGTCTCAACGGGGAAAAAGAATTTTTAATTGTACGGCATGCTAGATTGAATTAACTTATCTTTTACGGTCGGCATGGTCTAAAGTCATCATAAAAAGCTTTGCACTTATTTAGTCACGCTGCCGACATATATTCTTAAAGATCCCATGTTGTGATACGATGCTATAAATAAAATGGACTCATCCCGACACCCCTTTTTCGCAAAATCGTAATATGTACACCACAATTTTAATTATAACAAAATAACTACGAAATTGGTAGTAAATCTGACTGCAGAAATGATTTCTACACTCAAAAACACATCGGGTAGCCAAGTTTCTCTCCAACATTTGAATTAGTTACCGAGATATCGTCGATTTTCTTACAGAATCTGCTACTGCGTGGTCCACTTTTTAGGAGTATTTTCCTATATGTGGGTCATTCATATTTTGCCGACCTTTACAACCCCATAACTTTTTTATTTATGAACCGTTTCTCAAAATTCAAGAAGCATGATTATCAGAATGGAAAATTCTTTCTTAGGTACCAAAAAAACGGGGGCAAAAGTGAAAATTTAAATTTTCATTGGCATTGCTACACAATTGACTTTTTGTCAATTGCCACCGAGTGAAGCGGTGTCAAGTCTGAAAACAACACTATCTTTAGCATTAATGTGTCCGATGGGTCAATTTGTTCTCAACTAATTTCATTGGACGAGCTTGTAGTCTAGAGCTACGATACCAACTTGGCGTGTTTTCAATGAGACGTATCTAGATCTAGTTCTAGGCTAGCCTTAGCCTACACTTTGGTGTAGAACCAACACAGGCAATTCTAGAAGTAGGCCTAGAAGGTCACAAACGCACACAAACTCAAGCAGAAATTCACGTTATATCGGGGGACGGGGGTCAGGAAAAGACACACACACACACACACAGAGGCAAACGCACAACACCGAGCACTCGAGCACAATAAGCTAGATCTACCCACAAACGCAAAAGAGCTCCAATTTACTCTGTGGCAATTGACAAAGAGTCAATTTTTGTCAATTGCCACCGCGTCACTCGGTGGCAATTGACACTACCTTCTTTTATTCAGTGCTGATGCCCTTGTTGGGGTGTCTATCTCCTGGTCTGGATGAAGCTCAACCTCTTAGTGTAATTTGATGTACCCAGAACTCAGCTGTACATTGCAATAAACCTTGGGGCTAACCGAAGCTTTACAATAGCCCTTCTGTGAGGCTTACGGAAACGTCTTCTTTGAGGCTTACAGAGACGTCTTGACTGGTCTTTGAGGCTTACAGAAACGTGTTGACTGGTCTTTGAGGCTTACTGAAACATCTTGACTGGTCTTTGAGGCTTACGGAAATGTCTTGACTGGTCTTCTGCCTGGAGAAACTCCCACTCACTTCACATGGCCACCTGAGGCTGTCATGCGCCATCACATCACATCGTATTTGTATGGCTGTCTTCAGCTGTCCCAGGATCTTCACCACTATGACAAAGGTTCTAAAAGAAGCCCCTGTAAAAAGCTTGTACCTTCATGATGAAAGCATTGTTTGTTACTTTTAAATATTGTTTTGTTTTATCTTCAGGCTTACAGAAAGCTGGCCAAAGAATTTCATCCAGACAAAAATCCAGATGCTGGCGAAAAGGTACTCCCGTCTAGCACTCGTGTTTTTAGAGTAATCCTTTCCCACTTTTTTGAACAACTTGTGACTATCTCAGGGAAGGGGGGGGGGGGGGTTACCACAAAAAAAAATTTGATTAAATTTTTCTCTTTCCACGTCCTCTCAGCTGTGTTTGAACCGCTTGCTTCACGTTCTGAACTCTTTGCTGGCCCCAGGCATCGCTCAGTTGTTTACAGTTATATCCATGATGTACTTAACCCTTGCCAATCTATCTAATCCATGTAAACAAACCTGATGTGTAGTGCTGGGAGCCTTCATTTCTTCTCAGTGTGGTGTTTGTTGTTTATTTTGTACGAAAATGTTCAACAGGAGCAGAGTTAGGAATAATAATAATAATAGATAGCATTTGTATAGCGCATATCCCCGCTCAACAGCAGGCTCTATGCGCTTTACACTATATTATTACCCCAGCAGACCATAGAACACTCCGAAACATTCTCAGCTTCCCAGGAAGCATACAGTGCAAGCAGCCGATTAAGCGCTCAAACACTAACAAACTGACAAGATCTTTTGCTGTCTATAGCCGGGTATCCATTCCCACCTGGGTGAAGTGAGGAAATTCGTGTAAAGTGCCTTTCCCAAGGACACAACGTCGGGCCCTTGACGGGATTCGAACCCACGACCTTACGGTTGCGAGTCCGAGAGCCTAACCACTAGGCCACCGACGCCACAATTAGTCTGTGCTACTGAAAAATGAGATGGCAAAATTAGCTTTGTACAAAGGTTGTATGCAAAATGTTTTTAAAAGTATGTTTTTCATTGTGTTGTGGGAAATAATGGGGTATTTATAACAATGTTTTAGGAAGGGAATGTGAAAATGTTGCGCAAGCTTCTCTTTTCACAGCACACCCCAATTCCCTCTTTTGTTGTTAGACAGAAACAGTAGACATGACCAGAAGATGCTAGTTTATTGGTCCCTGTTTGAAACCCATTTCTGTACACTATGAATGTATTTAGTCACTGTGGAGTAGTGGTTTTGAGATAATGATCACTGTTGCAACCACCTGCCAAAATATTGAGTGGAAAATGCCTCCAGGGCATTGGTACTGACTGAATTGTCTTTAGGCCATTCCCAAAGGAAGAACATTAACATGTTCTTATGCACAGTAGAATTGTCAATGGGCCGATTGATCAATGTCATGCTCGTTCTGTGCAGGAACAACATAGGGGGAACTGCTGCTTTCTCTTTCCTCATCCTTAATATCATCATTTTTCCTCTACTCCTTTTGTATGTTTGTCACTCTCTTGTGAACTGCAATTTCTGGGTGCCTTGATAGTCGAAGCAGACTTTGTGCTGTTGAGGCTAGGGAGGTGAGCAGAGTAAGCCTGATTCCCCGTTTGGACTTCTCTATTGACATCCACCCCTTGGCCCTCATATGGCCTTATTTATGCAGTTGCGATCGCTGTAGAACTTTTACAAAAACTAAACTAACTGGGAAAATGGTTTTGTTTCAGTTCAAAGAGATCAGCTTCGCCTATGAGGTGTTGTCAAACCCGGAGAAGCGTGAGGTCTACGACAGACATGGCCTGGACGGGATCAAAGAGGGCGGTGGAGGAGGTAACTCACGCACATTGTTTACTCCTTTGTTACTTTCTCTAATGTGGTCTTTAGTTAATGATTGAATGATTCAAACTATCTGGGGGGGGGGGGGGGTTGTTTTCAAAGAGTTTGTTTATTCCCTCTTCCCTTTTATAGTAGTCTTTGAATCCTTTTATAGTAGTCTTTGAATAGTGATTTTTTTCCCAGCAGTATTATTTATAATGATAATAATAGTTAGTGGATTTGTATAGCACCCACTCCCCAACTGGGCTCTAGAACCTTTTATCTATGTTTGAGCCAATGAAAACATTCCTAATCTTCATATTTACACTCAATGTAACACACTTAAATACATACACACATGCACAAAGACATAATTGTACTTGAGCACACACAATCACTTGACCTTGCTCATACACCAAAAGAAACTACTGTGGGGAGCACCACTTGAGCACACACTGGCAGGACATCCGGGGTATTTTCCCTCAGAACTGAGAACAGATGGGGATTTGTGGTGCTTGCATTTCCGTAAATATTATGAATTGTCAGTATGGACATGCCATGAGTTTTAATTTTTTCTAATCGTTGGTTAACTTCTAGCTTAAGTGTTATTATTTATTTTCGTTTGTTTTTAGTTTCACTATATAATTTGCTGTTGGATAACGAGATATTTTTTCACATCGGCTTCTGTTATCAGGGTATTCCATTATTCTTGACAATAATGCTGATAGTAACATACAAATTTGTCCACCTCACAGGTGGGTTTGGAGGTGCCAGCATGTTTGAAGATCTGTTTGGCGGCTTCTTTGGGTTCCCGGGTATGGGCGGCGGCTCTGGCATGGGCCGAGGGCGGCGGCGCGGGGAGGACACCCACCATCCACTCAGGTCAGTACTGGACTCTTGTCTGTCGGGACGAAACACCATGATGGTGGTGCTCTGCTCTATCCTGTGGGAGAAGCTTCTTGGACAATTGGGGGAAGAGGGGGTGGCCTTGTTGAAGGGAGGGAACAGCTGCCCCGTGTTGCTAGTGAGTGCAGACCAAGGGTAGGGGAAGAGGGGGTGGTATTGTTGAAGGGAGGGAACAGCTGCCCCGTGTTGCTAGTGAGTGCAGACCGAGGCTACCAAAATAAATCAGGCAAAGCAGGCCACGGCCCGCGCGATTCGAGAGGGCTGGTTAGATCAACTACTGACCAGGCGAGACGGACGCAGGTAGAAGCAGCGCAGTGCATGCATGACTCTCTCTCTCTCTCTCTCTCTCTCTCTCTCTCTTTCTCTCTCTCTCTCTCTCTCTCTCTTTCTCTCTCTCTCTCTCTCTCTCTCTCTCTCTCTCTCTCTCTCTCTCTCTCTCTCTCTCTCTCTCTCTCTCTCCCCCGGAAAAGTGGAACCAAAACTACTCAATATTCGTTTTTGTGGTGTTTTTTTAAGTGTGTTTGTGTGGGTGTGTTTGTTTTTCTCTCATAAACCCAAAGACTTAAATGGAGCTTGTTGAAGTGACGGATTTAAATTAGTTAAAGGCAATCACTTTGATGAGTTACTAATTAAAGTAGCCCAAGCACCCTAATAAGATTCAAATGAAAACAGAAAGGTTTCGTTTTCTCATCCTTACACCTTCAGGCCAGTGTCGGCCACATACACCCATGTCATGTATTTTGTGACATTATTTACAGTTTTCTCCTTGTTGGGAATAGCTTTGGCCTTTGATCCAATCACAACGTTGTTTTCGCTCACTGTCAAAATTAGTGTCACAATCACCAACAGAATACTTTCGTGGCATCTCGATAAATGTTTAAACTACCAAAGAAGAAGAAAAACACAAATAGAAAAATACTATAGAATCGATATAAATTAGGATGATTTTGGCTCTCAACTCTAAGGCAAGGGACCCTTGGTTTTCTTCCTCTGTCTTGAGTTTGAGTGAACTTGCAGTAGTTTTACTGACTATATCTAGATCTAGATCTAGTTTTAAACACTTGTACAAGTAAGTCGCAGTCACACAGGCACAGATCTAAAGTAGATCTCAATGCTGCACTTGCTTTTTACTTTACCTTTACTTTTATTGACATCTCTAGAATCTAGATCTAGATCTAGCCTACAATCCTTTAAAATGGGTACAAATCACCTCTTGATTTAAAATTATAATGCCAACAACTGTAGCCCCCACCCAAAATAAAATAGAAACATTGGATATCTAATCTACTAAATGGGAAATTGTACAGTACAGTAAGGGTAACTTTCTCATTCTGTCAACACCACTCGCGAGTTAAGTTGAGAAGAAAAACTTTAAGCTAGGATCACCAACCTCTCCTACTCCTACTTCCCAGAGTCTCTAGTATTAGGCCTAGATCTAGGGGAAACAGAATCTATGAAGTTAACACAATACGTACCAGAACACGATAATTAACTATCACAGCATTCAAATAGGACACACACGGCTAAAGAAACACACTTTGGCACACACAACACAACATGGCATGGCACGCCATTATTCATTGTTTATGGTGGCATTGTCTGTTGATGGATCACATACTTCTCCTTGATTCGAATCAACACCAGCACTTAATAATATCCTGAAAACAGAATTTATGCCATAAAGCACAATAATAGTCAACTATCACATTCAAATCGGGAGCAAGGCTAATGAAACACACTCTGAATGAATACTTAGGAGCACGCACACAACACAACACGGCACGTCATTGTCTACGACACCTTGTTAGCCTTGTAGGTACACACGGTTCAAATTTGCCCCCGGCCTTCTCGATAAGCCCTCTCGACCCTTTGTTTACATTCGGCTGCTGTTCCTGCTTTAGTTCCGGTATCCTCGGTGCAGACCAAGGGGGGCCTCTAGTGAGTATTTGGCATTGGTTGGATGTGAGACACTGTTTTGTTAGATTCAAAGCACCGTTAAAAATATAAAAAACTTAACTAAGATTCAAAGTTGTTTTTAATTGTGGCTGCCTGTGTACAAGAACAGATGTACTTATTTGAAGCTATGAGGAAATAATTAAGATTTTTATTTTATAAACATATACCTTGAACTCTCAAAAGGTCATTTATTTTTATTTTTCACACTCTCTGGGTATACCCATCATCTAATGTCAATTTCTATAAGACCATGTTGGGATGAAGCATGTGAATTAGTTGTGAGTTGTATTTGTTCCTTGTACTAGCTTTGTTTTGTGTTGTGTTGCAGGGTCACATTGGAAGACTTGTACAATGGGAAGACAGCAAAACTACAGTTGAGCAAGACCGTTGTTTGTAAAAAATGCAATGGGTAAGTACCAAGTACCTCTGTTCTGCTTCCACTGCTCCAAGATCTGATCTCATAGTTGTCAATGTTAAAGAGAGGTAATTGCTATAGGCTTTGCAGCACTTGCCAGGTACTTATTACTTAGGTGCTGTAATCTTTGTTTTAATGTTGATTGGGTGTTGGGTTTTTTTTGTTTTGTTATAAGAAGAATGAACAAATCTGATGATGTCTGTTGGGGCTCTGTTCTTTATTAATGGAAGAAACTTCGTCTGCATTGATGATGCTCAAGATTCTTATGCAAGTGCCTGTATTCTTTGTTGTAAAGTTGGTGGGGGGGGGGGGGGGGTGTTATAAGAGGGATGAACAAATCTGATGACAGCAGTTAGGGCTCTGTTCTTTAATAATAAAAGAAACTTTGTCTGAATTTTTTATTGCATTCATGATGCTACAGATATTTATGCAAGGGCCTAGCGGAGAAAAATTCAATGTCTTTTGTAACTGAATGAAGAGAATTACTTTTATAAGTATCACATGATGTAATTTCCAAATGGTGGTTTTGTTTCCCCAGAATGGGAGGGAAGAGCGGAGCGAACCAGCGCTGTAAAAAATGCAACGGTCGTGGTGTCCAGGTTCAGCTACGACAGCTGGGCCCCGGCATGGTCCAACAGCTACAGAGTATATGCTCCGAATGTCACGGGGAAGGTGAGTGGGTCATACGTGTCTGTGTTGTGTGGTGTGTCACGGGGAGGGTGAGTGGTGGCGCACGTGTCTGTCAGGGGGAGGGGGAGTGGGTCATACGTGTCTGTGGTGTGTTATGGGGAGGGTGAGTAGGTCATACGTGTCTGTGTTGTGTGGTGTGTTACGAGGAAGGTGAGTGGGTCACACATGTCTGTGTTGTGTGGTGTGTTACGAGGAAGGTGAGTGGGTCACACATGTCTGTGTTGTGTGGTGTGTTACGAGGAAGGTGAGTGGGTCACACATGTCTGTGTTGTGTGGTGTGTTACGAGGAAGGTGAGTGGGTCACACATGTCTGTGTTGTGTGGTGTGTTACGGGGAAGGTGAGTGGGTCACACGTGGTGTGTTACGGGGAAGGTGAGTGGGTCACACATGTTATCGTCTTTATCTCTCCTCCTTCTTTTTTGTGTATGTTACTCTCTTGTAACACATCTGTTCTTCGGCACTTATATGACCTTTTTGTTTCAGGTGCCGTAAAACTCTCACAAAAACTTTTAAAATATTGGGGCTCTTCCTAAATAGATTGAAATGGCTGTAGTTTCGATTCATGAACCCATGCTAACTGTTGTGCTGTTTGTTTTGAAAAACTCTTTCAAAGTTCGGTAGCGCATAGGGTGCTGGCAGTAGTCTGTGAGTTGATGTCCATTCAAAGCTTGCTTATCCCTATCCGTACGCCCTGGGGTCATTTTGTACCCCAGGGTTTCTCGAAAAATCATTTTGACAGACTGCTATGCAAAGCGTACTGATCTGATTAACGAGTAAATTTCCTCTTAGGAAAGTGATAGCACAGAGTTCCCCACGTCGTATGGATACGATAGTAAAACACGACGTACAGATATGGTTAAAATTGTGCATCTGCTGGTCCTGTATTTTTGTGTAGCCTTTCTAACTTTTGTTTCTCTTATCACTCGGTGTGCTCCGATGTGTATAAGGTGGTCTTGTGAAACTACTGACATGCTGAGAGTGGCTGCTTTCACGTCTGATGCGAGTCACTGAACTACTCATTGTGAAGTTCTGTTTGATGTGGTAGGGTGGAGTCTCGATCAGTATTAGGAAAGGATGTTCTTATGAGAGTGTGGTGCCTGGATTGGTTTCACCTTTCCAGGATTTGTTTCCGTCTCATCCAAGTGAGCTGCTGGATGGTGGGATTCTTGCCTGTAAAAAGTGGCATGGTATGTTTTGTTTTTGTAAGAGTTTTACGGCGCTCGCTACTGCATAAGGTCATATGAGCGCCAGGTGGTATGTTTAGTGATGTATTCTGCTTCAGCTTTTTCTTTTTATCTTTTTTTTTTTCCCCCAACTTTATTGTGTGTTTAGAATCAATGGTGGTTTTCTCTTTGATCAGGTGAAGTTATCCGGGAAAAGGACAGATGTCCGGAATGTAATGGCAAGAAAGTTTGCAATGAAACAAAGATCCTAGAAGTCCATGTAGATAAAGGAATGAAAGACGGGCAGAGGATTCCTTTCCGAGGAGAAGGAGATCAGCAGGTAAATATTGCTAGCTCAGCACGTTTGGAACATTTCAGTCAAACAGGATTTTTACAATTGGTTTAACCGCTTCTGGAATTTAGAATTATTGAAATTTTAATCTGAAAATGATGATGTATGAATTATTCATCAATTGAGGTTTTTTTGCGTGGTTTTCATCATTGCTTGGGAGCTTTGTGTCTGTATTCCCTATACAATTAAGTTAATATTTTTCTAAATATAAGCGATATGTTTGTTATTGCAAGTTGCCTCTTCATTTTGTTGTATTTTCGATAAGAGAAGTGAGTCTACGTCTTGTTTATTGATTTGGGAGGGGGGGGGGGTTTACAGTTTTTAAAAATTTGTGGGCAGTCTTTCCAAAACAATTTAAAATGTGAATGTGTGGGTGGTTGACGGGTGCTCTGGTGTGATTTTCTCCTGCTTTCCTATCAAACATCTATCATCGCTATCTCCCCCTCCTTCTTTTTTTATGTTTGTTTCTGTTCCTGTAACACCTCTAATCTTGGGCACTTTTATGACCTTATTGTGTTGCAAGTTCCATATAACTCCTATGAAAACTAAAAGATGAAAGAAATGTTGTTAATGGTTCTGCCGTGTTTGATCTCGTGTCCTCTCAGCCCGGCATCGAGCCCGGAGACGTGATCATCGTCCTGCAGCAGAAGGAGCACGAGATTTTCACTCGCAAGGGAGAGGACCTGGTCATGGAGCATTCCATCCCCCTGACAGACGCCCTCTGTGGCTTCAAGTTCAACCTCAAGCACCTGGACGGCCGTGACCTGGTCATACACAGCAAGCCGGGCGAGGTTATAGAGCCTGGTACGTAGCCCCAATCGGATCCACCAACTTGTGATAAATTACCGGTGTTTTGAAAGTGGGGGGGGGGGGAGATAATATTTTCTGCCGCGACTTGGTCATACCCAGCAAGCCGGGCGAAGTTTTGGAGAATTACTTAGATTTGTTCATAAATTGTCGTCATCTGATGTCGATTACAGTCTACACATCTGATACCAGATGTTTAGTATTCGTTCTTGCCGAGTGCTAGCATCGATTTGTTCATGTTGTTTGGTTCATTTGATGCCTCTAGTTTTGGGCTGGGCTTTTGTCTACTGCTGACATGAGCATTCTCCCCGTGCTGGCTGATGGATACCAATATGGTTCTTCCATCTCCTGTGGGTCTCATGACATTGCTGCATTTTAGAAAGTTACATTCGTGTTTTCAACGACATTTCTTTATGGACTGAATATTCCCACTTGTGCAAAATGTCAATTTACCCTCTTTGAATTGACCCCAGTAGAATTGAATGACTCGTTTTGAGATTTTACAAGTTTCTGTCACTATTTGAGTGTGATTTCAATGTGTTTGTAGCGCAGACGGTAATATGGGTGGATCTTGGTGGTACCTTGTGTGGCACCAGGGAAAGGAAATGTGGCTTGAAAAACAGTAATGGCAGAAACTGAAATACTTTATTTATTATAATGAATTCATTATGATAATAATAATAGATTGTGTTTTCCAAAATATTCCCCGATTTGTTGCGTCAGTGTAGTTTTGCTTCCCCTCTACAACGACTTTGATAATTTCCTCAGAGGTTGATACATCCTATTCCAGTCAAACCTGTCCAAGACAACCACCTGTACAAATGACTGTCACAAGTATAAATGACAACTTCTTTCTCTCTCTCTTCCATCCCCACTTGCCCCCCCTCATCAATGGATGGCCATCTTGGGATAATTTTGACTGCATTTTCTATTGTGGGTATGTGATTTGAATCAATTTTTTTTTTTTTTTTTTTCAAATAGGGAAATTGAAAATGGTGACACAAGAAGGAATGCCTCGCTACAGAAACCCCTTTGAGAAGGGCAACTTGTACATCAATTTCAATGTCACCTTCCCTGAGAACAACTTTGCAACTCCTGACCAACTCAAAGTAAGTCTTGTGTATTTTCTTGCTTCTTGGTAGAAAGGGGGCTGAAGGGCTGTATTTCTAGGTCCTACTTCTTTTCTCTCCCTCTGTTATTTCTGTCTGTCTGTCTTTCTTTCTCCCAGCACTCAATGGCCATTATTGTCTGTTTATTGAAATAGCAGGCGAATGGTTTCAGTGTTGTTCAATGCTAGACTCTTTTGTGGTTTGAAATAGGAATTTGCATTTTATGATATAGGCAAGGCTGTTAGTAATGGGTTTACGTCATCCGTGGGATTTACAGGATGTATGTTCATATGTGAGGCAGCGTGGTGATATCAGGTGCTGGTCAAGACACTGGTATTTTTCTGCAGGTTTGGGAATTTTTTTATAATTGTTGTTTTTTGGCTCAACACCTTCCATGCCCTTTAAATACCATAATTGTGTGGAGATTGTACAGAAGAACGTTGCTTAACCCTCACATTGCCACAGCCAGCCCAGGCTTATGTCACTCCCATTGTCACCACATTTCAGTAACAAAAATGAAGAAAATGACAGGGCGTAGGAACACTGCTCTCTTTTGTAAACCATTTAGCATAAAACATTGACATTTTCAGCATCTGTAGAGGGTAGGATTTAGTACTGCAAGTGCCAATCTAAGGGATTTCTGTTTTCAGGATTTTCTAAATACTCCCAGTTCCAGTGATGAACAAGAACTTTTGGATTGCCACGCCCCCCTTCTTTCATTACCGGCATCATCACCCCTTTCATTGATATGATCGTTGTCACTGTTTCTACTAGGACTAGGCCTAGATCTGTCGACATTAGGTTCACAGTGTAAACTAGCACTTGAATCATCCGATTCCACACCAAATTTTTTGCCACAATCAAAGTCCTGATGTTTCAGAGTACTCTCATCATCTGAACGCATAACTTCCTGGTTGCTAATGTCATTATAAAAATCACTTCAAACTTGGCAAAAATGGTTGATCTAACGCCAAGAACAACTTTCACGCAGAGAAAAATATATTCCAACGGAGTTAACTCTTCTTAGCAACTTCCGAGGCGTTGTGCTTTCGTTAATTCACGATTCTCTTTCGGCCTATGAAAATTTGTGGAACGTGTCTCTCAGAATGCACTTGGGCGGGTTGGACTAGTGTCCACTAGTGTCCAATGTGGCAATGTAAGGGTTAAAGGCATAAACGGTGACTGTTCCGTTTCTGTGGACTGTCCTGAAGGTTTCTGTGGACTGTCCTGAAGGTTTCTGTGGACTGTCCTGAAGGGGCACTATTCAGTTCCTACCTGCTGACTTTCAGTCAGTCTATTGTGTTTACATGTCGCGACCTCAGTGCTTTCTTGTCCTATCTCCATTTTTAAAATATTTTTTTACAGTGAGAATGTGGCTTCTTGTTAAGCTCACTATTTGTTATGAACTGTTTTTCACTGTTATTGAAAATGGAGATGTGAGAAGAAAGCACTGGGGTGGCGATGTGCTGCTGTAGATCATCCTGTGATGGTGTTCTGACTATGAAACATTTTCTGTCCCAACCACAGGACCTAGAAGCTCTGTTACCCCCGCGACCCCGCACGGAGATCCCCACCGGGGAGCACGTAGAGGAAGTGAATCTTGTGGAGTTTGACAACAGCCGAGGTTTTGGTGGGGGCGGCGGTCACCGCATGGAGGCGTACCACGACGACGACGAGGATGAGGATGGACATGGACACCCGCGCATGCAATGTCAGCACCAATAATGACCGCCGGCACTGTTAGTGTACATAGACCACCTGTATTGTATGTGAACACAGCTCCCCGGGAAGGATGGGCCGCCACTGCACAGACAGACAGACAGAGAGCAGGCGGGCTTGTCAACGTGAGAGGAAACAAGTTGTTGACAATCTAACTCTTTAACACTTTGCTGCCCCATCTCGCCGATTGGCCATGTTTACCACCCAGTTTCTTTGGATTTTCCCTAAAATATGATGGCCAAGTGTTAAGCTATGCTTAAATGTAGTCTTTTTTTTTTTTTTTTTTTTCAACATTTTCTGAGACAGTGAGAGCCTTTGGGGTTTTTTTTTCAGTGATGAAAGAGTACAGGGGGTGGAACTAAGTTTAACTTGAATTGACGGTTTAGTTACCGGAGTGTTCTCAAGTGTTTCTTCTCTTTGACGGAGGGGAAGGTTGGCTTTGTTTTGTTTGCTTTTTTTAGTTGAAAAATACTGTGTGATTCTGGTGGTGGGTGGTCGGAGGATGTTGATGGGGTATGGCGACACCTTCGCCTGCTTGACAGATGTATGCCGAGAAGTCTCCCCCACCCACCTCTCTCCTCCCTCCACCCTCCACCCTCCCTTGTCACTGCCAAGCTGTGGACTTATCCTGTGACCCTCAGGTGTGTGTACTATTGTAGTACCCCGTGACAGAATCAAAATCGTTAATGTAGAGAACTGAGTTGTACTGGCTGGAAGGGGTTTGGAATTGTCCGAACATCAGAGTAGCTTTTATCTAACTACGGTTTACCATAAGGAAAAGTTGTCAGCCCGCCCCCCCCCCACCCCCGCCCCGTATCAGATGCGATTTTCTTCACATACATTTGGTACATTTGGTGCTACTGTTGACATAGGTAGTGGGAGAGTTGCGTGGTTGGGAATGTTTGACATTTGTTTGGAGGTATTGTGTTGAAGAAGCAACTGTGGGGGTGCATATAATTTCAGTAAAATGTTTCTTCCCGGGAGGCTGAAAATGTTTCTGGGTGTTCTATGGTCTGCTGGGGGTAATAATATAGTGTAAAACGCATAGAGCTTGCTGTAGAGCAGGGTATGCGCTATACAAATGCTATTTATTATTATTATTAAAAAGGTGAAATGAGTTGGGGTTATTTTGTGGATATGTCATTGTGTTGGGATTGGTCAGTGTGTATTCCATTCCTTTCCCCGTAGCTGTGTTTATTGATGTTTTTATAAATATTTTGAAACTTTGTGTGTGCACGACGGAAAAATGAAATTGGATGGGAGTGGCTTAGCTCTCGGGTGGAAGTCGTGGCAGTCTGGGATACCCCGTGGCGTCTGTTCTGACTGCAGCGTGTGACCTGTTTTGTGTCGTGCTGATGTAAGAGTGCCATTTGGAGCGTAGCGTTGATGGATCAAGTCAAAGTAGTTGTTTATAGACTTTGTCAAATCCCATTCCTCTGGTATGTTGTGAACTTTAACCCTACCTTTGCTGTGAGGGAATGCTGTATGACCATCCAGTCTCTCGTCAAACGCCGCAGCACCTTTCTATGACTGGCTAGGAACTTGTAGGACTGCGCTCTGGCTTTTTGTCCCTGTTGATCCTAGCCAGGGTGAGTTCTCCTGTGACAAACGCTGTCGTGGAAATACAAACGTGTCCTGTCTATGCAGATTATGTTTTGAGGAGAGTGGGCTCTGATAATGTGGTCTGACCTTGGGGTATGCTCGTCTCTCGTTAGATGTTCACCCCATTCATCGTGTAGAAGCCGATCTCCACTTGTGTATGGTAAGAGTTTATGGTGAGTGTCGTCGTCCGTCTACTTTCCATGAAAGGATGGTCGGGTTTTGTTCCTGTTGTGCTGTGGGCTGGCCGGTGTGGTGGGTGTGGGACTCGTGTACCCACATGTTGAGCGTCACGGCTCGCCTTCGGTACTGGTGGTATTTGGGGAGTACATGCACTCGTTGTCAATGGGTGTTTCTGTTCACAAGGTTGCCAGTTGTCAGGCTTTTTAAAATCAAAGAGGAAAAAGTAATTTCTTTACAGCAGGACCTTCCCATTACAAACATCAATATACAGTTATTGGTGAGTTCTATTTTTTTAATATTAAGATTGTTGTAACGGGCCTAGGCCTGTGTATAAAGTATTTTGGCACATGTTATTATGCCTTGTCTCTTTTTAATTAAATGCAGCGTGCCACGTGTCGAATTTGATGCCGACAAATTTTCCAGCGTTTTTGTCAGCCTGCTGGCAACCCTGTGTTCAGTGACATGGTTGCAATCGGGCTGTCCAGTTTTACCTGTGGTGGAATGTTGTAGGACGGAGTGGGATAGTCTATGCAGTTCTCCTGGGCCACTGTGTGAAGGGAGCTGTGACGTGCACGTGTGTTGTCCCAACACGCGACGGGAGCTCTGAGCCTGGGTCCTGTGGCGAGCACAGAGTTCCACAAGCACTACTGTCCTACCACAATTACTACCGGCTTCACAATGGTGTGCAGATGCTGCAGCTACAATGTACATTAGTTGTCCATAATTTTCTCAGATCAACTTTTCACTTTTCCAGAGACCAATGGTAGAATCACCCAATATTCTGTACAAGAGTCCACCATGCTCCCATGTTCTTGTACGTCTGGCCTATTGAAGTGCTCTCTGTCACATGTGTATGCCTTGTATCAATTGTTCATCTATCTCTAACAAGTGAATCACCATTTCCAAATTTGATTGAGCTTTGTAACTCTGACTGGACGTAGAAGCAGCTTTTTCCTGTGGGAAAGTACCCAGCGTAGTACACTCACAGACACACACAATTAGTGCCTGCACGTCGTATATCTCCGCTGACTGTTCCTCTCTCCGGAAATTAAAGACTCTTCCGGTCGACGGAAGGGTCTGCTTGTCAGGGAATGTTCTCAACTCTTGTCAGCGAGTAGTTAAATGAAATTTGCGTTCAGTTCAGGGCTTTTTTTGTGTGTTGTCCATCTTATTACAGGATTATTTTTTTAAATCAGTATCAAAGTATAACAGAACCGTTGCTGGTCTTATTCAAAATATCATCGGAAATGTTCCAGAATAGCTATTGAAGCTCGGGGTAATTCTGTTGTTTGGTTGGTTGGTTTTTTTATCTCCCTTTTTCTTTGCCTTGCCCTTGTTTAAATTATTTGAAATAATGTGTTTCTTATGTTTCTACATGATATATGATTGTATTATATATATAACACATGCATTCTGTAGTTGTCAGCTGGAGTGTTGTCCTTTTCCTTGTTGTGGCCTTCACCTTCGGTGATTGGTCTTGTCTTGGTGTGTGTGGGGAGAATGTGTGGGGAGTGGCGGGGAACTTGTTGTTGCAGGATTCCCCCGTGTGTGGTAGGCTACGTCTGACGGGAGTGCACACCACTTCCTTGTGTCTACCTTTTTGTCGTTTGTGTTTGAGGTACAGCGGATGTCTGTGATCAGAATAAACATTATGGGACACTCAAAAACAAAAGCTGCTTGTGTTGTTGTGTTCTGGGACTAGGACTTTTGCTTGACTCAGGTGCAATTTCTCAAGTTGAAAGGTTTGATCCTGAGTGGTTGGCAGGTGCTCTGGTGTGGTTTGTTCCTTCTTTCCTTTCAGACGTTTATCGTCCTTATCACCCCCTCATTTTTTGTGTTTGTTATTCTCTTGTAACACCTCTAATCTTCGGCACATTTATGACCTTAAAAGTGCCATAAAACTTACTTCACCCATTTAAGAAGTACTGTCCTACAAAAAACAAGTTTTGTTTCAGCTGCCTATTACTAATTAGCCCAACAAGGGAGAGTTGTGGGTTTGTTAATGTAGGTTTTCTCTAAGCCCCCATTGACACAGTGTGAGGAGGTGGGTGTGACCGTCTGGCAGACCATCCTGGGCTGAGAGAGATACATTGTACTTGTATATATGGAATCTTTGGAGAAAGACGAGACACTTGTTTCTATGATGGTATTGGTTTATAACACACATGTATGTGGGTGGTTGGCGGGTGCTCTGGTGTGGTTTGCTTCAAACATCTGTCGCCCTATCTCCCCTCCTTTTTTGTGTTTGTTACTCTCTTGTAACACCTCTTAATCTTTGACACTTATTGTGTTGCAAGTGCCGTAAAACTTAGTAACTCCCAATAAGGGCTGACGAGCTGGTGTTGCTCCTGTGGGTTGTGAAATAAACATTTCTTTGGTTGATACTTGGGAGTTCCGCTCTAGCCATGCCCGACTGTACTTGGTTGGAGTCCACTATATGAACTCTGTGAAGGACTTTGTGGAAACTAGCAGGTCTGACAGGCTAGTCTTGGCTGTTGTTCTTCAAATGAGTGAATGTTCACGTGATTCACTTTTGGTTGTACAGTGGAGTCCACTTTTTGTAAATAAAATTCTGCTATTGCGCAATCAGACCGTCACGCGAGTCGTTTATAACGGAATATTGCTGCTGCTGTGCACAGCGCACAGACCAATTCAATATTATTATAAAACCTCGCCAGTTCAGAAAGTTGTCAGTGATCCAGCGAAACAAGGAATGGGAGAACGTACGCGAACCAACAATGAAGGCCGGAGCGAATGAATGGGGAGGGTGTGGCATGCGCAGACACAAGCAGAACGCATCGCGTGATAGGCCAGCCCAGTCTAGATTATCTAGGCATACCGGCATACCGTGCCTCTCACTTCTCTGGTGCGGTATGGAGAGGTCACAAAGCTGTGATAGATGGAATGAATGTATGACGTGCGCGAGCAGACGCAACGCGCCACAGTGTGTGGTGGGGTGGGGGACAACACAGTGGGCGAGTTAGCCTTGAGCCAGAGCCCCTTCTTTCTGATCGCCAACGCCGATTTGTCAACATTGCTAGTACAAGAGAAAGAAACCTGATTCGATTTTTGATCAAGTAAGACATTGAGATCATGTTGAACAAATCATCATCAGGGGAAATACAAAAAGGAATAAACAGAACGCCAAATCATAGATTAGGCCTACTTTACTATTTCCCTTGAATTTATTACTGGATCCCTTGTAACGAGAATCCTGCTATAACGGACATTTCGCTCCGGTCCCCTCCCTCTCGTTATAACAGGATTCCACTGTATTGATGCAAATACATGTAGAATGTTGAGAATTGAATTAATCAAGAATCAAAATGATTGCTTGTCGTTTTTAGAATAAACATCAAAACATAACCTGAAAGGCTGCCTGTTATTTGTACACACCTTTCTCGCCAGCTGTCTCTCTGTAATCAAAGTGGGAATACCTTCTAGTGGGTCATTTCATTACTGGTCATTAGTGACACTAACCACAGGACGGTCAACGCCCCCCCCCCCCCAGGGCGGTGCGACTGGCTGAAGTGTCTTTAGGCCATTCCCAAAGGGGGGACACTTCTTGTTCTTATAGTAGAATTGTAAATGGCCTGATTCATGTCACGCTCATAACTGTGCCTGATCTACAACAGGGAACTGCTGCTTTTTCTTTCCTAATCCTTACCACCATTGTCATTTTCCCTCTACTTTTTTTGTATGTTTGTCACACTCTTGTGACCCTCTATTTCTGGGGTGCCTTGATTAATTCAAGGTCGAAGCTGACTTTGTGCTGTTGAGGCTAGAGAAGTGAGCAGAGTAAGCCTGATTCCCTGTAACTGTAAGGACTTTTCTGTTGACACCCACCCCTTGTCGGTCATATGACCTTATGACACTTATGCAGTTGCGAGCGCCGTAAAACCTCTACTAAAACAAAAGAAACAGGACGGTGGACCTGGGTTCCAACCCTGGACAGAAGTAGTGAGCAATGTTGATGGGACTGGGACCTCTGCTGGGATTTCTTCTCTCCCTTTATTATCAAATGTCAGTGTTACATAACAATAAATGACACCTCCTATACCTTACCAGTGCGTGCTCTGCTGTGGTTTGCTTCTTTCCTATCAAACATGATCTATCGTCCTCATCTCTCCTCGTTTTTTATGTTTGTTACTCTCTTGTAACACCTCTAATCTTCAGCACTTTTATGACTGCCACGTCTGCAGCAATTGGAAACAGTAGATTTAAATGTATTTTGCCACGCACAATTTATAACTTACATTAAACTGGCAAAGTATTGAGGTATAGATTGGTTTTGGGGTTTTTATGCTGGATTTTTTTTTCCTTCGAAAAATTGATAATTTACATTAATTCATTAAATTGGCAAGGTATTTAGGTGTTGACGTAGTTCATTTTTAAAAATTTATTTTGTTTGCCACGCAGAATTTATAATTTACATTAAACTGGCGAAGTATTGAGGTGTAGATTAGTTTTGGGTTTTTTGTTGGGGTTTTTTTTTTCGAATAGCTGGAAATGTACATAAAATCGGCAAGGTATTTAGGTGTACAGGTTATTTGTATTTTGTATTTTTTTTGCCTACAGAATCTATAATTCACATCCAACTGGCAAAGTATTGAAGTGTAGTGTGTAGAGAGAGTGGTTTGGGGTTTGGATTTTTTTTCCTACGAATAAAAATGATACATGTAATGTTTTAAATCGGCAAGTTAAGGTGTAGAGTTAATTAATGGGAGTGCTTATTTAGGCCACATATGGCCTAAATAAGGTAAGGGAGGGGGGGTTAGCTTATTTAGGCCTCATGTGGCCTAAATAAGGTAAGGGTGGGGGTTTTAGCTTATTTAGGCCACACATGCTCAAACTACCCTTTTCAGGCGACTGAGTTCGTTCCACTTTCATAATGGTGCACCTTTCTCATTTAGTAC